TTAAATTTAACCACCATTTCTACTCGTGCACTTCCTGCTTGTGAAACTCCTTTCTGTTTACTTGCTTCCCTGAAAACTACAGTCTCCAAAAATTTAAATGCAACATCAGTTTCTATCTTTTGTCTTCTTGAATTCCATTCATCTTTTAATCTTTCCTTAATGAAAAGGACTTTGACATCTCATCTTAACAGATATGTGTACCAAAATTACACAAAAATATATTGAAATACAAAAGAGAAAAATTTATTCAATAAAATCAACATTGACTTCAGCCACAACCTCCAGCTGACTTCAGAATCTCCTGCAACTCTTCTGGACAGTCTCCTTGTTTAAGTTGGTGAATGTTGCCACAATCCTTACCTTCAGTTCATCTTTGATGTTACAAGGAATTTTGCTGGTCTCTCACTCAACTGTGCACCACACATAATAATCAAGGGGTTGTAGTCTGGGGAGTTAGGTGGCCAGATATAAGGGGTGATGTAGTCACAGAAATTTCTGATAACCATCACTATGGTCTTCTGCTTGTGTAACATTGTGTGGAGTCCTTCCAGCAGGCACCCTCTTGACCCAGGGCAGCACTACCACCACAAGATACTTGATGTACACCTCTGTGTTGAGTTTGAGGCCCAGTAGGAAGATGAATGGAAGCCTAACATTGCCATCACTAGTGATCACTCTAAACACCATGGTGTTGACTGGATATATCATCAACTCTTTCCGAATGATTTGCACTGTCCTCAGATTGACACACAAACACTCTGAAATGTTTGTATTGGCATGCTATATCCAAATTTCTGGCTGAGTGGATTGCATCATGGTGCTCTTTTTTTCATAGTGCCCATTGAACCTATTATAATGTGCAGTTGATGGAATCAAAAACTCCCAATGTGTATGTGCAAAATTAAAATTTACCCATCGCACCCTGTATGTTTCTGCTTTTAATAATTCACAAATGGCTGATAAGACATAAAAACAAATGTAATTGAGATTTTCAAAGTTTTTAGATGATAGCCTATTACTTTTATTTCCCTATATGCTTTGTACCAACTTATTGCATTCTAACATATTATTCTAGATTGATAATGGCCGACCATTTGTTTCCGAGCATCCTTCACTGCCTTTGTTTGTGAGTAGAAAATAACATTGCAAAGTGAATTCAGTGATTCCTTCAAAATTGCTTTGGTTCTGTTTCAGATATGGAAACAAAAATGAGCATATACAGAGAAATCAGAGAGCCGAGTTCAAATCCCAGTTAGCTTTCTTTCATTTTTTTTTTTTTTTTTTTACCCATTGCACCCTGTATGTCTCAGCTTTTAATAATTCACAAATGGCTGATAAGAAATAAAAACAATTGAGTTTGTCCCAAATCAAACCTGTATCCCTCTTTGCAGGAGAAAACCACAATGTAATATGGTGGACATATTTACTTTATTACATTTCTCATATGTGAAGACCAATAGAAATAATTCATACTGTTTAACAAAAAAAAAAAAAAAGAAAAGACTGGACGTCTACTCAAACAATGGGTATCTACAAAATATAAGTTTGGAGTATTAGGAAATAACATTGGAAAGTGAATCCATTGATTACTTCAAAATTCCTTTGACACTGTTTTAGATACAGAAACAAAAATGATGCCCTATTACTCTTATTTCACTATATGCTTTGTACCAACTTATTGCATTCTAACATATCATTCTAGATTGATAATGGCCGACCATTTGTTTCTGAGCATCCTTCACTGCCTTTGTTTGGGAATAGAAAATAACATTGCAAAGTTTGGAGTATTAGGAAATAACATTGGAAAGTGAATCCATTGATTACTTCAAAATTCCTTTGACACTGTTTCAGAAACAAGAAAATAAATGATCAGATAATGACTTTTGAGAAGATTGGAACAAGACAAGTTGCATTCTTCAAAAGGATAATTAAACCTTGTTAGGCTGTGATGCTCTCTGTGACCAAATGGTTTAAAGCAAACCAGATTACACAGTGATTTCTCTTGAATAGTGAGTAGCAGGTTCAAACCCTACCAGAAAGTAGATTTTCTTTAAGTTGAATGTGTAAGCTGGTAGACATAATTTTCCCCATTTGAAAAAACAGGGCATCTGCTTGAACATGGGTATGCACAAAATAACATCTATAATATCCTCACCAAATTGTGAATTATTTTTCAAAAAAAAAAAAAAAAGCAAAAGGTAATTGTTGAAGTAAAAAATTTACAAAACTTTTATAATGGCCAAGTCCAGTCTTTCAACTATTACCATTTTTCATATAATGCATTAATTACACACCCACTGAAGATGACTAATGAGTGTTGAAAAGTTTGACACACAAAATCTGGCAGTATCAGTTAAGTAGAAATAATGGATCTCAGAACACTTCATTGAAATTCAAGTTCACTTTATGCAAGGCAAGAAAACCACTAAGACACAAGGGGTTACTGGGTGTAAAAGAATTAAAAAACAGAAACAGCACTAAGGAGCGAATACAGAAGAAGAGCAATTAGGAGGACAGTAGATAGTGATTGACATTGCATTTAAATATTAAAAGAAAGTGAGAAGTGTGGGAAAGGAAACTGTTTGGTTTGTTTTGTTTTATGGCATATCAACCTCAATGGGTTATTTAATGCTGACAATTTTTTTTTTTTTTTTATTGCTGGTAATATTTTATTTAGTTAAAAAATTTTTTCTGGTAATATTTTTCCTTCAAAAATGTATTGCTGGTAATAATTTTTTCAAAAAAGTATTGCTGGTAATATTTTTTTTTCAAAAATGTATTTCTGGTAATAGTTAACTATTTGCCTATAGCTGGGACCCTAACAGGTGCTACCACCCCAGGTCAGGGTGGACCTGCAAACACTAGCTATTAAGAAGTGATTCCACATGTCTCAAAACCTCCTGATCAGAGGATTTGCTGCTGGATGTAGTTTATCATCTTACCCAGGATGCAGATGTAGTTTATTGTCATACCCAGGACAGAAGGAAACTGTTAGCATAGAACTTATGGTTATATCTAACCAACTCAGTTGTATATCAATGAGACGTCATTGCCAGTCTAGTACTGCACTTAAATTCATAAAGTCTAGGTACCATAGTGAGGATCTCATCCAAACAATTACCATGAAAGTATTTATAGAAAAGGCACAGAGAGGCAAATTTATGGTAGTGAGAAAGTAACTGAAGCTGAGATGCCAGTTCAGGACCAATAATATTGCTGCAGTGTCAACCTTTGGTTTATACTGCAATTATGCAGAGTGAACCTTAAACTCTGTGAGACTGTGCATAATCTGGCTTGATTGACAGTTTGGACAAGGCCAGCATGCTCAGAATTTTTTGTTATCATGAAAAGTTTCATCTACCCAATTTCACACACAATTCTTGTATATTTGTCAGATACTTCACAACAGTCCAAAATAATGGAATCATTCCCAAAGGCTGATATTATCACAAAGTCATCTCTTTGCAAGACATGGGTTTCGAATCTCAATATGGTTGATTTGTCAATCAGAATGCTAATATTCTGACCACTCAGCCATGCAGCCATTTGACAATATGAGTAGGGGTACAAATTGATTGTTTCATTCATTTTTTATTGCTTATCGACCCTTTGCAGGTTATTTAAAGCCAATATTTTTATATTGTAAGAAATATACATATATTTGTGTATTTAGGAAGCAATCCTTCTTTCGTGCATATTTCATTGAATATGACAGACAAGGTGCTATGATTTAGTTTTTTATACAATTTCTCATATGATCTAATATTTTTTTTTCTTTTCAGATGATAAATTATATAAAAACTGTCTGATGTTCTTTTATTCTGAGTGCTTTCGGCTATACATTTAGCCATTTTCAAGGATGAAATATTTTAACTGTTAAATAGGAAATAGTTTGTTGCATGTATGTATTTATATAATATTTTCATTTTTCAAAACATGGTCAAGATATTGTGTCCATGTTCATAGTTAATATTATTAAGTGTTGTTTTTTTTGCTTCTATTAATAAGGCCTCCACTATTCTTAGCCTTTTTTTTGCATGTAGATGATGCTATTATATTAGTGTTGTCAACAAGTATGTTACGAATAGTTATGCGGTAGGTCTCCATAAATATTTAAATGAGATCTAATTGAGCTATAGTCAGAAAGGTGTAGAGTGAGCTTTTGTGTTAAATATCTTGTAGTATGGCCTTTATAATTATTTGCTTATTTTGATTGATCAGGAATACAATTCCTTAATGGGCATTTAAATTCATAAATATATATATATATATATATATATATATATATATTTTTATAATATATATATATATATATATATATATATATATTTTTTATAATAATATATATATATATATATATATATACCTTTATAATAATATATATATATATATATATATATACCTTTATAATAATATATATATATATATATATATACCTTTATAATAATATATATATATATATATAATATATATATATATAATATATATATATATATATACCTTTATAATAATATATATATATATATATATATATATACCTTTATATAATAATATATATATATATACCTTTATAATAATATATATATATATATATATTTATACCTTTATAATAATATATATATATATTTTATACCTTCATAATAATAATATATATATATATATAATAATAATATATATATATACCTTTATAATAATATATATATATATTTATTATACCTTTATATATATATATATATATATATATATATTTATACCTTTATAATAATAATATATATATATACCTTTATAATAATAATATATATATATACCTTTATAATAATATATATATATATATATATATATATATATATATATATATATATATATATATATATATATATATATATATTTATACCTTTTAATAATATATATATATTTATACCTTTATCAAGAATATTTGCATGAAAAATGAATTTAACAAATCCAAATGGAATTGGAACTTCAACATCTGCACATCCAAGCTTACAACACCTGGTATTCCCAAGCAGTTGCCCATCTAGGTACTAACCAGGCTCGACATTGCTTAACTTTGGTGATTGTATGGGAATTGGTGTTTCAATGTGATATAGTCATAAGTCTAGGGTACAAATAAACTAATCATTTGCATGTAAATGACACTATCCAGACATGTAAATATAGACTATAACCACTTATTATTCTTTTGATAAATTGTTTGTTAATATAAAATAAATTGTATGAATGTTTCATATCAGAAGGGCTCCCAAATGTGCAACTGAAAATTGTCAGACTGTTTGCATGTGTTTCAATGGAATATTCCGAGATTCATTTGTTGAAGCCTTAATTGATTCAGTAAAATCAATAAGGCCTTATTTTTGTTTCATATTCTTGCATCAAAGGAATTTATCTTCAATGGATGGTAATTGTGTGCGTGTCTTTGTGTGCACACATGAATGTATTCTGATGAATAATTTGGCTTTGTGAACAATGGTTTACGAAGAGATTCTATGGTAATGGTAATATTAGCCATTTCCTTATAAGGAAACATTATGCATGCATTGACTGAGCAGCCAGTTTGGTTGAGATTTGTAAAACCTTACTTTTTTTTTTTTCCTTAACCAATTTCTTCCTAAGCAAGGCAGTAAAGTCACTAAGACACAAAGAGTTACTGGGTATGGAAGAATTAGGAACAGAAACATTAATAATGAGCGTGAAGAGGAAAGTGTAATCAGGAGGACAGTAGATAGCGATTGACATAGCATTTAAATTTAAAGTTGGCTGAAAGTCTGAGCGAGAAGGGAGTTCCACAAGTGAGAAAAGCAAGAAAAAAAAAATTGTTAGCATAAAATTTATGGCTACATCTAAGCAGCTCAACTGTAAATTGAGATCTTGACACCAGTTTAGTACTGCGCTTAAATTCAAAAAGTCCTGGCACCATAGTGAAGAGCTCATCTGAACAATTACCATGAAAGTATTTATAGAAAGTCACATGGAGGCAACCTTACTGTGGTGGGAAAGTAACTGAAGCTGAAATGCCGGATCAGGACTGTTAATATTGCTAATTCTTATTTGGATCTTATGAAGGAGCTCAAAGTAAATAGCAGGGGCACTGGGCCATATGTGGCAGGAATACACTCTCAGCATAAACAAATGGTAGACTTAGAATGTATGATAGATTCTGGAGAGAAAAAATTATCTAGCACAAAACAGTGAACCAACTTTCTTAGCAACTGAGCTAGTATTGGATTAGTATTGTCTTTCCACATAGCACATTAGCCAGAGAAGTTGCAACGAGCCGTTTTCTTGGAGGTTAACATCAGCCATGCTGATGAAAGTAAAGGAGGGGGTCTGTCAGAGAATTAATGTAGAGAAGTTTAGTTTTCTGCCCCAGTTAACCACACTTAAAACAATATTTCATGAAAATAACTTTTCACAAATCTCTTATCCAATATTGATGGAGTTTCCTTCCTAACCTTTTATTTGAAGTATTGTGGAATGTCAGCATCTTGATTACATCATTATTTTCTTTTTAAGAGGTAAATATTATATCCGTTTTAGATGTGGCATGACTGCAAGGAATGTAGTTTTTATTATTTGGTACTGTACTTTGTGATTCTGTGGTGCCAGTCCACAAAGTTCAGTTGGAGAAAGAGAATATATAAATTTCTATATATCATGTTGGAATGATGAAATGGAAAAACTCTATGTAACACATTTCATCTTCAAAAAGGACTTAATATAATGTTCTTATTCATGGAATATATATATATATATATATATATATATATATATATATATATATATATACACACACACACACACAGGGTGTCCATAAAGTTCGTGTGCACTTTAAAAATTTATAACTTCATTTGGATTTGTGATAGAAATAATCTGTAAAAAATGTTATAAAGTTTAATGTACCTAATTTTAAGTATAGCTAAAATAACTAATGTGATTTCAGGCATTACTGTAAATCAGTTGGCAAATGTTTTCCGTGAACTGCAAAAATCGTATAACCCTTTGTATTGCTAATGATGGAGAACATGTGGAAACTTAAATAAAATTTCAATACAACCTTAAAGATTTACGTCTTTCTAATCCTTTTTACAAAATTATTTCTATCACAAATAAAGTTATAAATTTGTAAAGTGCACACGAACTTTATGGACACCTGTGTGTGTGTGTGTGTGTGTATATATATATATATATATATATATATATATATATATACACATACACACACACAGTGGTGGAAATAAGTACAAGACACCCCATGAAATTGTTAATAATTTTCTTATTACTGCTCAAATTACTCTGCAAATTTGTGTGTGGTAACTAGATCCAATAGTATTAGTATACATATTCGATTTTGCACCAAAAAAAAGTTATTAAGAAAGTTATGTTTTGGAGAGTGGAAATAATTATAAGACAGTTTTGAAAATTTGTATTTAACAACAAAATTGTACAAAATTCAATATTTACATTTATTCTCTTTCAATTGTAATACTTCAACACACCTGTTTTGCATTGAATCAATAAGTTTTCTGCGGGTTTCAGATGGAATTTCATTCCAATACTGTTTAATGCAAGTTTCTCTATCTTCAAATTGATGTTTATTTTTGTATACTCTTCTTGACAAAATTCCCCACAAATTTTCTATTGGGTTTAAATCTGGAGACTTAGTGGGCCAGTCCAAAACTTCAATATTTTTTGTTTTAAACCAGTGTTTTGTGAGCTTAGAAGTGTGTATGGCTGGCTGCATCTTCCTGTTGAAAAATGGCATTATTTTTGTCTAGATGATTCATAAATGGGACAAGACTTTTTTCCAACACATTGATATATTGAGCAGAGTCTTGTTTCCTTTCCATCACTATTAAATCTGCCTTTCCAGACGCAGCAAAAGCTCCCCAAACCATAACAGATCCTCCTCTAAATGGTCTTTTTGAAAACAGCAGCTTTTCCTTTCTTAAATCATGCCAATAACACTGGTAGCCATTGGGTCCATCCAAATTAAACTTTTCCTCATCAGAAATCACCACAGTTTCTCATTTCTCATTTGTCCATGTTACTTTTTTATTTACCCAATCTACACGCTTCTTCTTGTGTTTAGCAGTTAAAGAAGGGGCTGTCTTCCTGTTTCAATACACGAGTTTTGGCGATTCATGGAGAAGTTGACAAACTCTTCTTGGAGTGATGAATAAATTCCTTAGAAGCTTTTCGAAAAAGTCAACGTTTGGCTGCATTTGTAATTTTAGGTGGATGACCTGGATGTTTTCTGGTGCCATATGATTCAGGGTCCTTTAGATAATTTCTTATAACTGTTCAGGACCTTGACAATTCTCTTTCAATGAAACTTATAGATTTTCGTTCTAGTTTATAGGCAGAAATTTGTCCTTTTTCATTTTCAGTAAGTGGGGAGTTCCTAGGCATTTTGCAGTAACTGTATTCAATTATGAAATGTTTAAATAGGACTTGCATGGCTTTAAATCATGATAAGAGTCTTTTTATAATCTGTGCATGCACTTATTCTTCCTTTGTTAATAACTTTTTTTGATGGAAAGTTGTTATAAAATTGAATATATAAACTAATACCCATCAGATGTAGGTACCACACACAAATTTTCAGAGGAATTTGTGCAGTAAGAAGAAAATCATTAACAATTTCATGGGGTGTCTTATGATTATTTCTACCACTGTGTGTGTGTGTATATATATATATATATATATATATATACTTGATATTAAATTGATCGATTTTTTTTTTACAGTTTATCAACCCTTTGTGGATTATTTAATTGTAAATCATATTTTGAATTATAAGAGTAATTCTTTTTATTTCTGAGTGAATATTGCATTAACAATTTTTGAGAATAACAATGATTTTTCCTATTATTTAACCCATATCCGGGGGGACATGGTGGATTCATAACTTTCCCAAGGACACACTATTAACATTATTAGGACTATTGTCCTCATCTTTCTTGCCATATTTATTACAACGTTTTGGTCTTGTACGCTCTGGTCTTCTTCAGGTGGTTTGAATGTCGAACTGAACCCTTATTTTGCTCACTGACTAGTTCTAGTTCCCCATGCCATGTTTAATTGATGTCAGTTATATCAGTTATCTCCTGTTCATTCCCCTCTCCAAATTCTTCACTGCCTTAACCAGGTATTGAACTCTCACTCTTTGGGTCCTGTCACTGGATCTAACCAATGCCTTTATCTACTGTCATGTCTCCAAGAGTATTTGTATGTAAGTGAATTTAACAAATTGACTGGAATTTGAACCCAGCACTGATTCCTCATTCTGTGTCATTATCCATTACACCACTCACCCTTTTATCCTATAAATTGAATCATATAAAAAAATAATTTTAATTCAATAAAATCTGCATTAGTGAGACAATGTGATTAAATTTAATCATATAAATGCTTGATTTTTACTTTAAATGTATTGTCATAGAAATTAGATTAACCAAATTAAAGATTAGAAACACACTCAATGCCCTTGTTTTTCACCAGAACCATTGTGTTCGCAATTTTAACCAGCAAAATTCCATTTTAATAAAAATAAATATAATTTAGTCAGATGAAGATGCATTGACAGTGCCATGTTCAATGAGTACACTACTGAGTTATTTCAGTTTTTACTCAATTAGTGCTGAAAAATGTGTGATATAAAAACCTTAAAATAAATTTATATATAAATAACAAAGAATTAAAGTAAAAATCCAGTACACTATTTACATTATTTGGACTATTGTCACCATATTTATTACATTTTGGCCATTGTACACTCCAGCCTTCTTCAGGTAGTTGGAATGTTGAACTGAACCCTTTATTTTGCTCATTGGAGTAGACTGTTCTAGTTCCATGTGCTATGTTTTAATGGATCAGTTAATTTATCAGTTATCTCTTGTTAATTTCCATATTCAAGTTTTCCACTGCCTTAACTAAGTATTGAACTTACACTCTTTGGGTCCTATCACTGGATCTAACCAACGCCTTTATCCACTGTGCCATAAAGAGTGTGAGTTCAATACCTGGTTAAGGCAGTGGAGAACTTAGAGAGGGGAATTATCTTCTGTTAACTGACAACTGACATCCATTAAACATGGCACATGGAACTAGAACAATCTACCTCAGTGAGCAAAATAAAGGGTTCAGTTCGATATTCCAACCACCTGAAGAAGGCCACAGTGTACAATGGCCGAAACGTTGCAATAAATATGGCGACAAAGATAAGAACAATAGTCCAAATAATGTAAATAGTGTACATAATACCTCATCTCAGGAACATAGACAGATAAAAATCTAGTGTTCATATGTTTAATGTGAATCATGTTTTGTCTTGCTTGCAAATTTTTTTGTAGATATTTTATTTTTTTCTGATTTTTTTGTAGATATTCTATTTTTTTCTTGTCATAATAGATTTTGAAATTGTTTTCAAGTTCTTAAGTGAAACAGTTATACAAATAAGTGTTCAATATACTTAAAGAAAGATAGAAAATTCAGAAGAATTTAAACCTTTTTCTAAAGTCTAGTAAATAAAGAATCCAGCCATTTCCTCTACAATGGTTTCACCTGCTGATCCACATCCTGGGTATGAGGATAAACTACATCCTGAAAGCAAAGCCTTTGATCAGAAGGTTTTCAGGAGTGTGGAACCACCTCTTAATTACTGGTGTTTCCAGGTCCACCCTGACCCAGGGTGGTAGCACCTGTCAGGGTCCTAGTTATGGGCAAATAGTTAAAAAAGGGGTCAAAACATTATGAAATTATAAAACTAGGTTTTAATGCCAAGAATAATTTTTTTATTACCAGCAATACATTTTTGAAGAAAAAATTATCATCTATATATAATTACCAGCAATACTTTTTTTGAAAAAAATGTTACCAGCAATAAAAATCTTGTCAGTATCAAAGCTGACATGACATAAAACAAAAGAAAACATACCAAACCAAACCTGCTGATCCTCCTATGATTACTGATGTTACCAAAATTCGCCCCCCACCATGATCAAGTAGAAAGGGAAAGCAAGAATGCTATGTTCAGTTAGCAGATTTATTTGGAGCATTGTATGGAATGCTTAAATGATCGTTGCCTATCCCTTCACATCTGTGCTCGTATATGCACAGAGCAAATAAGTAATCATTTCGAACTTACCCATAGACTGAGAAGTGTTTGGATTCTGGATAAAAACTGTAGATACGTCCTGAGCTTTCCCTGCTTGGTTCTGGGCCATACATTTATAGGCTCCGGTGTCAGTCAGATAATTTGCATTGTGGATGACAAGGGTACCATTTTCATCTGGAAAAAAAATATGATAAACAAAATAACATATAAAATGAAACTACAGTACACCTTCATCATAAATTACACAAATCTGTTGAGTAATAGATAATTTTCATTCATCAGAAACCAATTGTAATGATGAATGTATCATTCTAACTGTTCATTCAACATATAACATCTTTATGCATCTGATATGAAAGGTTCAAAGCAAAAAGCAGGGAATTGACAAATATTGTGTGTTTGGTGGTATCACTGGGGGTTTATTTATTTAGTGTTCTTAAAACAATGAAATATTAAATGCACATTTATACATCCAGCAGCTGTAACGTGTCCATAAAAGTTAGATCAAAATGAAAAATGTTGTTTGCTTTCATGACAACCTGAGGTGACATATAGCGAGAATAATACAAGAAAAAAATTCTACCTCACCCCATATATTCACCTGACCTTGCACCAACTGATTATTACCTTTTTCAATCATTACAAGATGCTTTGGAAGAGTAACCCTTTTCTAATGAAATCTTGATTTCAGTCATCATATAAAACTTTTACACATAAAACCCCACAGAATGGTAAATACCATATATACTTGTGTATCATGCAACCTTTGAAGACCTAATTTTGAAGGTAATTTTAAGAGGGTCTCATCATACATGAGATATAAAATTAGCATATGACATATGTACTGCTGGCTCTGGCTATGCCTTTGGCCAAACTATATATCCATTTACTGTAGTCAAATTAGTTTCGAAATTAGGTCTTGAAAGGTTGCATGATACTTGAGTATGGTATATAATAGAATAAAATGTAATTGAACTTTGTTTTTTGAAGAATAAAGTAGCTTAACAAAAATGAAAATTATTTCTAAGTCAACCTCTTATTCTGTTCCAGTTCACTTGTCCTTGAATTATGATGATAAGAAATTTCATTTTTAAGTGTCCTTGACTTAAGTTTCTTCAAGTTTTCCATGAAACCATTTCTCCATTTTTTTGTTCATTACTTTTGATCTTCTAATTTGATTATCTTTTTTGAGTCTTGTTAAAGTTTCTCTCATGATTTGACTTTTTGCAAAAAATGGTGAATGTATAACAGAATGAAATGTAATTAAACTTTATTCTTTGACGAATAAAGTTGATAAACAAAAACAAATTATTTATCACTCAATCTATTTTACCATAGAATTAATTACATTTTTAACTCTCTTAAAATAAAAAAGAGCATAATATGTGATGATAAAGTCAAAGATTCTCTTTTTATATATCATATATACTCATGTATCATGTGACCTTTGAAGATCTAATTTTGAAGCTAATTTGACTACAGTAAATGGTTATATAGTTTAGTCAACCATGTAGCCAGCAGTACATAAGCTGATTTTATATCTTGTGTATAATATGACCCCCTTAAAATTAGTTTCAAAATTAAGTTTTCAAAAGCCACATAATACATAAGTATATACTATAATTACCCTATTTGATTTTATATCAGATCCACTTTTTTACTGCACAAAAAATGGTGTAAAAATACCTCTGTTTTAAATGCAGATGTGAGGTATCTGATAAATGAATATTTATCTGGATACTGTAGTTTATTTATCCTTATCTTTGTTTTTGTTACCACAACCTTTCAGCCTTTGCACTTGCTAGCCTTCATCAAGTGTATGTCATTCTGTGTAACCTACAGGGAATTCCAAAATTAACCCTTTAATTAATCTATGGGGTTAGACTGTTTTTATTCCATTGTCCACAACTATGAATATCTCGTATAGTTCTTATTTTTTTAATACAGGGTCTCAGCATGTCACCTACTGAGCAGATTCCTAGAGGAGATATTCGACAAAACTAAACGGGGAAATCCTCATCCTAAGTTAGAAAATCAGAACACTTTGTGAAATTGATCCAAGGGTCTTCAATCCATAGCAATCAGATGGTAAGTTTGGATGTGGTAAACCTGTTCACCAGAATTTCTATAGATGGAGCCCTGACAGGTGTTTGAAACCGATTGGAATCTGAGAGAATGTACTAACATTCTAATAGATAATCTGATGGAAATGTTCACGTTCTGTATATTCTTCCAACTAGAGGCTAACAAATAGCAACAGGAAGAAGGCTTGGCTATGCCGCCACCATTGTTACCAGTGATGGTGAACATATAGAATACTTTGAGAAAATGGCTTTATGAATGGCACCATTAAAGCTAACAGTTATAGCGGAGATACATAGATGACACCTTCATACTCTGGCCAGGAAGCTGTGCAAATACTGCAGAGTCATGTGAACTCTATAAGACCTTTGATCCGGTTCACAATGGAAGAAGACAATAATAATCAGCTAGACTTCCTGGATGTACTAATAACTTGCACAGAGAATAGGTTCAAAATATCTGTATATCACAAGCCAACCTTTAATGGACAATACCTCAGCTTCAATTCTCACCTTCCATACAGTGTAAAGAATGGAATCAATCGATGCTGACAATACCAGACAAAAATCATTGGTGACAACCCAGACACAACGAGAAATGATCAGCAACAAGTGTACCCTTTAGAATAACAATTACCCTGCAAACATAACATGAGCATCTGCAGGTGGAAATTGAGGGGTCAAAGAGGAGGATCAGAAAATTGTCATGGTCTGTCTACCTTATGTCAAGTGCTTATCAGAAAAGATCTGCAATTCATAAAACATCAGGGGAATATTCAGAAACAGCTTCACTCTACGGAGAAATCTCAGCCAAGTAAAGCCTAACACTGTGGAAAACCATTCTTTGCAGTTGTGGCAAAGAATATAAAGGTGAAACAAGTTGCTCTGCAGAAGCAAGGATGAAGGAACACATAGACAATGAAATCGGGCAAAGATAATCAGGTACAGGAAAAGGAAGAACACTGAGAATCAGCACATATGCTTGCCTATGAGGATCTTCTTAGTAGGCCTAGTATAGAAATAAAAGGGGAGCCACTAATAAATAAAGAAAGAAAGATGTATAGTGGCACTATTCAGGTTACTTTTAAGGCTTCAAGTTTACAACAGAGAATTGTCCTACTCATGCTGATGCAATGTTTGCAGAGCAGTTGTTATTTTGAAGGGTACACTTGATGCTGATCATTTTTTGTTTGTATGTCGAGTGAAGCATTGGTTTGTGAATTTTGTGACATAGAAATTGTAAGTTCAATCCCTGGTCTGGGCAGTGTATACTCAGTGGAAATGGGACAAGCAATAACTGAGCAGAACTATAAAAAAAAAAAAAGAATTAGATGAGATATCCCTAGACATGGGCAGTGTAATGAGTACAGTCTATGCCTGTAGATTAAATAAAGGGTTAATTTCAGAATTCCCTGTAGGCTAATAGATTGACATACACCTGATGGGGGAAGAACAGATAAAACATTGTGTAACAACAACAATGATGATGATGAGGACAATAGTTTGAATGTAAATAGCGTACACAATGATAACTCCTCATCCCAGAAATTCAAGCAGACATGCTGTAGTTTATCAATAATTATACTTAGTTCAACTCAGCGATATGGAAACTAGGAAATGGGTGCTTATATGTTATCAAATACAAAAGTTTTTACTGAAGGCTTCTAATACCAACTGATGAAAAAAACAGAATATAAATTTGGGGTACTCTTGCATACCAAATACAAGGGCCAGCACAATTAATTTCCTTTAATTTTCATGATATTTATTTGGTATAGCATACTTATTTTGGTTTATTTTATTAAACTTATATAAAAATTCCTGGTTGCCTGTTTCTTGGAACTGGCATGCTTATTTTATGAGTTGACTATTCCAAATAGTAAATGTACTTAGTACAAAAGATTAACCCTCCTTAATGAAAAATCTAAAAATAGATAACCATATTTGTTGGCATAAAAGTCACAATTCTGGTTGCCCTCTGTGGTTGAAATTGAAGACAATGTGATGAGGCTGGTGACTACAAAGTACTCTTTTAGAATTGACAACTGTTTAGAAAAGTCTATAATTGATTGATTTGTTTGCTACAGTTTATCAACCCTTTGCAAGTTATTTAAAGCCAGGAAATATTTTTAGATTGTAAGGATTTTCTTTTTTTTAGATAATAATGATTTAGAGATACTAATTTTGTTAATTAGTATGGAAAAAGGTGAATTCATGCCTAATCAGAATTTGATAAAGAAACAACAAATTAAAGCGGAGGACCGATTCCATATTACAGTCTGTATATAAACTAATTCCTTACTTTGAAGCCACAGTATTTTCTATACAAATCTACTCTGGAGAATGTAAATAAATCTAAAAGACATGCTGGCATCACTAATTGGTATTTCATTGATTTGTTTTCTACAGTTTATCAACCCTTTGCATGTTATTTAAAGCCAGAAAATATTTTTAGCATGTAACAATATATATTTTTTTGTTTTTGTTGTATTCTGTGCTAAGGGAATAAACATATGACACCAGGTGGATACTAGAAGAAAGGTTTATTGTACACAACAAGTACAATATAAAATACAGTACAGTTATACACAGGTCAATCTAGTAGTGAGTGCCACTAGTTGGAAGGTCAGACATGCTTGCGTCATCTCTATCACTTGTCCTTCTCTATATCCTGAGTCTCTTGTAGACAGTTGACTTCATAGGTACTTACTACCTATAGTGTAATCAGTCATGGGAGTGACTAGTTATTCCATTACATCAGTTTTTCTTTTCTTTTTTTGAGATAATAATGATTTAGTAATACAAGATTTAGCAATTAACTTATAGCTGGGGTGAGAAGAAGTGGATTTATACCTTTCCCAAAGATATTAGATCAAAAGTGAATATAACAAACCCAACTGGAATTTTTTTAGATTGTAAGAATTTTTTTTTCCTAGAAATAATAATGGTTTAGTGATACAAATTTTACTAATTAACCCATATCTGGAGGGAGATGAGGTGGATTCATACCTTTCCCAAAAGTATTTGCTCATAAGGAAATATAATGAACCCAATGGGAATTGGAACTCGGCTCTCTGATTAACAATTCCAAGC